AATGGTGGGTCCCATTTTTAATCTGGACTAACACTACAAGAGCTGACCAGGGACTATCTGATTTCTCGACTATCCCGTCCTTAATAAGGCCACCCATCTCTTGTCGTTTTGCTGGAGCTATTTTCCTCGGAGGGATCTTTATTGGATGGTGATTGCCTGTGTTTATTCTGAGCTCTACAATGTCTGTGCAGCCGAGGTCATGATATCCTTTCGAAAAGACGTCTGCATAATTCGCCAAAAGTTCCCTGACCTGAAGAGCCTGTGATGATGACAAATGGACTATACTCTTCTTATAGAGGTCAGTTAAATGTTCTGGGAGAGGATGTCCTTTGTTTATGGTTGTATTTCTTGCCTTAACATTGACTGGCTCTACCTACTGGCACACACCCAACAATGCCCCCTTCCTTAAGTGTTTGCTCACATTTAGAGAAATTGGCCACTGTTATGGGTGCTACTTGATGACCTGCCACACGTAACATTCCAATCTTCACATCCGCTGGCCTGGATGGGTTTTCCACTGCTTCTACAAGCATTGGGCTTCCTTGGGGATGTTCTTTTATTCTACCCCAAATTATCTTCTTTGACATAGGGGGTATTGTAATTGACTTAAGTGCTGTGACATGCAAATCAACAGATGCAGCAACACTTACTGGAATTTGGCCTTTGTTTCCCAATCGTCATTTTATGGAAGTTAACTACACACTTCCTCGGTAGTAAGAAGTCCAACCCTAATATGCATTGGTCTTCAATGTCAGCCAAGTATAGTTTGTGTCTGTCCTTTATTCCCATGAGCTCAATAGTTACCCACACTGGTCCCCACAACCTTGCATAATGTCCTGTCACACCAAAGAGCTTCTGTATGGCTTCTGGTACTCCTTTGTGATCTAGCACCTTAATACTCACAAGGATTTGTTGAGATTCAGAATCTATGACAAAGTTCCACTTTTGGCCATCCAGCTTTCCTGTCATGTAGACACTGTGTGTGCTTGCCATTTTACACTTAGCTGTTGGGACTTTCACAATGTGGGTTGGTGGGCATCCATCAGCACCAACCACTACTGGTTTCCCGAAGCTGACTTATTGGTAGTATTCTTCTTACACTGGCTCCTCATATGTCCTTATTCTCTACAGTTCCAACTACCCTTTCTGGGTAGCAGCCTTTCCTGCCGTGGCATCTTCTCTGTGTTGAAGTTGTCGGCATTGAGCTCTCTTGTGCCCAGGTTTGTTACAGTGCCAGCAAAGTCCCTCAAACTTCTCCGAAAGCTGCCCTTTTCTGGCCTTGAATCCTGATGACTGTACCAACCTTGGTACCTCTGTGCTGGACTTAACATGGGATTCTAATTCAAGATCTCTGGCCATTGCATCTTGTATAGTAGAGAGGTGTGCTTGGTTTACTTGTATCTTCAGTTGTGGACAGTCCAAGGCATCTACAAACTGATCCCTCAGCAACAGCTTAAGGACATTAGGTGGCGCAGTTGGGTAGGCCTTGTGTGCCATACTTTCCAAATCCTGTGCCAGCTCTTGCAGGCTCTCCCCTTTAGCATGGACTCTAGTCCTAAACCTAGCCCTGTAGACTTCGGACTGATTTTGAGTTCCATACCAGAGTTCACAAGTACAATAGCTTATGCTCAAGGAGTAGTACTAGATTCTATGCAAGGCCACATCAAGGTATAGTGCTGCTCTAGGCAGATATGCATTCTGGAGGTTCTATAGGTTATACAAATACAATATGTAAACTGTACGATTGAGAAAAGTATCACTTTGCACTCTGACTTGTCAGTGTCTGAGTCAGACTGATGTCATCAATTCCCACATATCTTGAGTAGAAATGCCTTTGTAACTCATCTGATTTTTTGTATACAACGTACTTGTACATTATACTAAAAACTTGCCACATTTCATGTATATACACATAGTAAGTTTGGAATTATAATCAATATTTCTTGTCTAATATCAAATCGATACAATGGTACCCAGTATGCTCTAGTCCAGAACACTTTAACTGTCATGAATTTAGTTGGTGTTTGGGTTTATTTTTACTACATATATGATATGCACTACATTATTAAATGTAAGATTTAGTTTTAACCAAAAGTATTCTGGTACTTATTCCTTGTTTAGAATATTTTGAGGAACTGTTTGATTGTTTTAAAACTTTAGTTTACTGTCTATGGAGCTATTTGTATCAGAAAAAGTTTTCACTTTTTGCTAGGAGGTTTCATTATAAGCAAAGAAAATAACAAGAAGGATTTAATTTTATCACCATTATATGTAGAAAATTAGCAGCTTTAGTTATTGATACTGTTTGAAAGAAAATCTACAGTTGATGTTGTACTTTTAAAAAATAACTCAAAACAGCAGTAAACAATCAAATCACATGATAAGTAAAAACTTAATAATTTGTAAAAAGTGAATGACATAAGAACATTATGAAATTTAATTAGAAACATAAAAATTGTGAGAAGACAGCTAGCAAGTGAAACAATAAAAGTAAAAACTAATCAAAGAAACGGAGAAATGTCAATGGCCCCCATTATATTTATGCTCCGCGACAATTTAAGATAATAAATAAAGATGAGCAATCTGGCTAACCCTAACCATGATTTAATATATTCTATAAACCACATGAAAACTTAATACATCCAAACAACTACTGAAAAAAACAACATTGTTTGAACCAAACTACACAGTAAATTTAAGTTTATTTTACATATTGAAAGATCTGTTTCGTAATAAATTGAAAACATTCCGTTGATAGGACCAATCACTAATATCATGATGGGATACAGATTAATATTAGTATATATCTGTTTATCTTTGAGATTTTGATCCAAGAATCACCAGGATGATAAATCCAACTCAGCTAAAATTTATGAAATACCCCCCCTAAATTTTGTCACATTCCGACAGCAAATTGCTAATTTCACAATTTAATCTTATCATGATGCATACGTAGAGTGAGACATTGAAGATTAAGATCAATATTCACAATCAATTTTTGTCTCATTACCACCATGCCCATTGTCCCTTATACTGCTGAATAACCATCCTAAGGATGGTTATGTCAGCTAGTGTACGTACCGAACATAAGTTAACACAAAGAAATTAGAGGAAGGGTACCCTAAATAAGCTATTAAATCAAGCAATTTTATCTCTTACATATATAGATATAAAAAGATCCACGTTATTTTAACCTGTGGCTACTGAGTAATGTGTTGCAAAAAGAGAACTTCACCCATTTATCTTACTGTTCTATTTTTTCTGGACATAAAATTTCTCCTACAATTTTCTCCTTTTCTCTGAAATAGAATACACTAAAAATAATATTTGTGATATCAATAGAACAATTTTTATTTCTTTAATAGTACATATAACTGTTTAACTGTTGAAAATAAATATGTCCATCTACATAAATGTTTAAGGCTCTGAATTTTAAATCAAACTTCTTCTACTTTTGTTCCCTCACTCCGACTTCCTTCTCGTTCAGATTTGGATCTCTGTTTTTTCCGAAACTTCTGTCTTCTTGCTTCACCTGATGATTCAGGACCATGAAAATCTCTGAATTTCTTTTGCGTTTGCTTTTTTTCTTTTGTTGCTTCACTTTTCCAGAAAGAATTCAAATTTCCCGGAGCTTGGTACCTGGATTAATAGTCAGAATATTACATCAATATGACAAAGACATTGTCAGCTACTCTCATAAACATCTCAAGTTGTAAAACAGTAAAGTTACATTTTCAGGCTGCTTATTGCTGAGGGCAACTGCCTGAAAAAAATTATAAATAATTCTATATTTGTTAACTAAATAACATAATTACTCATGTGAGAATGTATTTTTAAAAATCATAGCTTTTCAGACAAAGAAAAAAAGAATCTAAGCCACATATATTTTAACAAAAACTAAAAGGTTTTAATTTAGAATATCCTCAAAAATTTCTGCAGTCCGCATTTAAAAATAATCATTAACTTGCACTGTTTGAAATGTATTAATGTCAAAATGGAATTATTTTTCTATGTTCACGTAAATAACTATACTAACTTCAGAAAAATGGCATAAAACTTGTAGGTCAAAGGTCAATTTGAAATATCTAGTGCAGTTGATACTATAAAAAGTAGCACACACTGCATTTACACATCTCCTTTATAAGAAAACTAATTTCAAAACAAGACAGAGAATAACAATTCATCAAGTTAGATAAGCATTCACCTGTTGTTATGTGTTGAGACTAGCCATGTAACATTTTAATGAGGCTATTTAATCTTTATGTATTTTGTGTTAAATGTCTCAAGGTCACTATAAATTGTTTAGATAATTATCTAGATTCCATTAAAACCAAAACTGGGTGAGCTATAAAGTTCAGATGTTAATAACACTTAGTTTCATTTCCAATGACAGAGAGAGAATAAAGCATACATGGTATTCTATGCAGCCAGAGTGACAGAAAGCAAAGGTTTGAGAACCAGTAATAAAAAATACAAATAAAACGGCAAAGTTCAAGATCAATAACAGCTTAAACACAGTCTTGAGCCTTTGTTTCTTGGTGCAAGAAAGTGGATCCATTAATCCTTGATGAGCTGCAGATCAGTCAAGAAGCAAGACAGTCTGAAGACAATTCATCAAACGTTAAAATGCTATAAAGTATACTGCACTGAGAAACATCTGGATATTTATAACCAGAGTTATACACCAATGGTGTTCATGAATGAACTGAAAAAAGATGTATTGAATCAACTTAAGATGTTCAACTTTTATTATCTAGTAGAAGATCTTTAGATTTTACTACCATGAGCAAATAACTACCAATAAGCAAATGTAATTGACTATGTATGCTGTGTATGCAAGGAACTACTTAAAACTTAGAAACATAAACATTTAAAAAATGCTATAGATAAGCTCTTTGTGCTACTGCTGCCTGCTCTCCAGAAGACAGTCTATTTCATGGCTTGCTGGCCAGGTAAAGGGGCATCAATACACTTGATCTTGTCCATAGTAAAGCACGTCTCACCCCTTATGTACACAGAGGTTCTATTGTTCCCTCTGCAAAATACAGACAAATGGTCAACTGTCCATGGGTCACTTCTAACCAGCACTGGTTGGACTTCCCACTAAAAATCAGTTCACCTGCTGTACAGACAAAGTTACCAGAGTTTCTGCAGTACATCTATTAAGTGAACGCCAACTTCAGACCCGAGGTCTGCAATGACAATCTTTATTTTATGGTTAACATGATTTAGACCTAGTCAGAGAAGTGACTGTATGTTCACACAGTGTGCCGTCATTTGCCAGAATGAAGTGAGTACCTACTGGCCTGAGTGGTGGTCACTTGGATACAAGTTGGTATCCACTATGGTTCCTTCAGCTCCACATTCCTTTCCTACCAGCCCCTGGTTCTGTTTATATAACAACCAGATAGTAGTGGAGGAATGCAACAGAATTACATGACAGCAGTGGACCATCATCACAGCCACAGTGATCTCGGAAACCACAGCTGAGGTTTAGGACAAGCTTGAGACCTCTGCACTGACAGAAGTTGTTTTAGTATCTGTTTGTATTTGTTAGATAAGTAATTTTACTGAGGCTATAATTAGTTATTTTTTCTGCGATATGTGATTAAAGTTTGATTTGTTTCTTTTTTGTATTAGAATTAAAGACAGATGGATCAGCTTAGATGTAAGTGTGTGTGTGTGTGGTACAGGACTGTATTATGATTTAGCTCCCACCCAGTTAATATGTTAAATTTCCAATATTTCTGTATTTTCTTCCAGTTTAGTTTGGATGCAGAGTTGCTCAAGTAAGCCATTCAAGTTTCCCTTCCTCTGGTGTGCATAGGATGAAATTCCTTAACTGGTAATTAGCCATGTTTTCTTACAAGAAAGACAACTCATGGCATTGTGAAATATGTGTTTGTCTTGTTTTGTTGGTAAATGAAGTAGAGACCAAGGATTGTCACACCCCCTCACTAGAATCACAGTGGACACAGGGGATGTGTTTAAGGTGGAGTTATGGGCAAACCTGACTTTGTTGATGTTATTGTCGTTTGTATATAAAGCCAGGTTTACCCCTGTAAGAGCAACATTTTGAATTTTGTTAGGTGTGATATCACTTTTGCATCATTTAATATTACAGTACTTGAATCTTAACTTATGAGGTTGTTTTATTAAGCTTATAAATTTACTTTTAGTGTAGCTTACAAGAAGGAGCACAACGTATTTGTAACAGAAGCTATTAAAATTTTCAACAACCTTCTTTTGCCAGTTCAATGTATTTATAATAAAACTTGCCATTGTATTTTGTATCGTGTTTAGGACCTTGTTTGTAAAGAATATTGCGTACCATCTCTTTCTTTACGACAAACTCTAGAAAGAAAAAAACACTCTATAACTCAATATTATCTAAACTCCAGTTAGCAGGCCCTAACTGCTACTCCAAGGGAAGTTCACGCAACAGAAAATACCACAACTACTCTTCACCTCAGTAACCCCTACAATTCTGCAAGGCATGTTATCATTCTCCTTGTTGCTCCAACAGGTGTTTGATACAACTTGTATCAACAGGTGTTTGATACAACTTGTATCAACAGGTGATTCAAAATTCCAACCACCTTATGTCTATTTGAAGACTCTCGTGGAAAAATTCTAATCAATCTAATCTATGAGAATAAGATCTGGGCTGTGAGTTTGAAGGTGATGATTAGATTGTCGATTCTCATTAATTGTATTTGGAAGAAAATGAAAAGTGGCAATGTTCTAAGTCTGTGATTTACTTCTCATTAAACCTTACTATAATTAAAATGTTAAGACCTGGCATTCTAGGACACAATGAGTTGGTTCATAGTTCCATTACGTTGAAAGTAATCATTGATGATATACACAATAAAAATTTACTTCTGTAAACACTACAGACTATAACAAAACTTTTTTTTCAAATAACCATGACAAATAACCACACACAATAACTTTTATCTTCAAATCTTTCCTTAATGAGTGGATACAAAAAATTAAATGAAAACCTTGAAACAACCATGATAAATGTGCAAAAACATGCTATTATAGATAAAGTAACATTTAAAAGGAAGTAATGCAACCTAAAGCTAAGAGAGGGACACCACCATCAACTTTCATCCTCCAATTACCACAGTGTGGTCTGACTTTAGTACTACTATTATTAGGACAACTTGAATATACGATATACATATTAAGGACATTAGGCTCACATCTTGTTAAGTTTCCGAGGTTTCCAGTTGTTTAACACAAATACAAACGTTCTTCTAATACATACCCTAACTCGTTGTTGTCCAGAGGATCTTTACACAGCAGGATGTAAATTGCTGGAATTTCTCTTGTTACTTTCAACTTGTCTAATTCTTCAGTTTTTGGTTTCCATAATTCCTCTACCCTTAACATTATAAAACCTTACATTTATGAAAGAAAAAAAAACTCTCCATAATTTACTGTGTGTTCGGGTTTGTCCAACAAAGATCAACATCAAATTTTTTTGTACGTCATATTTTAAACAGAGGTAGTGAATTATAACTTCAACACCCATGAATTTTCCCAAAATTTGGTCACTCTTAAACATATAGTCGTGGATAGCTCATATATTTGTTTTAACCAAGAAAACAAATTTCTTATATAAACAAGTGAAGTAGTATTCTGATGTCAACCAATTACATGTACTAAAACAGTATTTAAAACAAATTTTTGATGATTTACAAGCATTTCCTTTTAAAAGCTGAAAATAAAAATCTAATGAATATTTCTCAACAAACAAAATGTTTTATACTTCATTATGGTCATAAAGCTTTAACTTACATTTTTCTCTCTAAGTTACTTTTATTTCTGTGATATTTCATTGACATCAAAGTTTTAAGATTTGTATTGTACTCAAGATTTATATGTGTGAAAAGATATTACTAAAACTATTGAGATATAAAGTGAAATAAAAATAAGTTACCTTTTGTAGCCAATTTTAGTGATTTGGTGTAAACTCTGGAAGAGGAAAAAATTTCTCGCATATAAAAAAACACAAAAAATTCAAGTTTTTAATGAAAACAAATGTCCACACAATCCAAAAACACATTATGTATTAATGTCCAATTCTACACACACACATTAAACAGATATACTCTGAAAACTAAGTAGAAGAGTTGATCTATGTGTAATTATTTAATGGATTAATAACCTGCATATACTACAAAAACTACTAAACTTTGAATTGTATGGTAGTTTATCTAACCACAAACAACCAAATACTGAATATCAATTTAAAAATAAATGGACAATGACTAAAGAGGTTAACTAAGTACATTGTAGTACTAACACTACCTGCTTCACATTTTCCCGAGGTAGTTTCGAATATTCTGCTCATAATGGTGAAATGAAATGATATTGTTATCTCAACACAAGGAAAGTACTTAGATATACATCAATACTACTGTTTAATGGAAAGATTGGCTATTAACCAATACACAGTTAGTTTATTGTACAACAGTGTGTGTTTTTCTTATAGCAAAGCCATATCAGGCTATCTGCAGCATCAACCGAGGGGAATCGAACCCCTGATTTTAGCACTGTATAACAGTAAGCTCCAACAGGACATGTAGGAAAAAAAATCACAGCATCTCGGACAAATACGTGTTCACATTCTTTACTTTAAACACTTAAACAGCAAAAAATCATCAGCCTTTTAACTGAAGTTCTATTAACAGATATTGAATAATAAATTAGATTATAACCATTATTAACCAACTAAAAGTATTCTTATAATTCTAAAAAAATAAAGTGAGTAATTAATAACTACTGTGTTCACATTCTTTAGTTTAAACACTTAAACAGCAAAAAATCAGCCTTTTAACTGAAGTTCTATTAACAGATATTGGATAATAAATTACATTATAACCATTATTAACCAACTAAAAGTATTCTTATAATTCTAAAAAAATAAAGTGAGTAATTAATAGCTACTGTGTTCACATTCTTTACTTTAAACACTTAAACAGCCAAAAATCATCAGCCTTTTAACTGAAGTTCTATTAACAGATATAAATCACATTATAAGCATTATTAACCAACTAAAAGTATCCTTATAATTCTAAAAAAATAAAGTGAGTAATTAATAGCTACTGTGTTCACATTCTTTACTTTAAACACTTAAACA